TGCGTTACAATGGTCTCATTATACAGGAAGAACCCCCTCCTCTGGAGAGCCACCATCATACCCAGAACATTGCTGCTGGTGACCGGCTCATGCAGCATGATCAGGGCCCTGGTGACATTGGTGACTGAGTAGCTCGGAGAGCTGATCAGGTTTAGAAAGCTGAAGATGATGAGATTTGGGGCAAAGCTTACAGAAGCTCCTGACAGCCAAGAGCAGGAGCTTCCAGGGCCACTGGGAAACACAGGTCAAGTTTTTGCCGAGAAGAAAAACCACAAGTTCCACCAGAACCCAAGAAAGATCTGAAAGAAGATGGTGGGGCTGCCCCGGATGTACAGCGGCTGGAGGCCACGGAGCTTTGAATCACTCAATACCTTTTTGGAGAATTTATTCTGAAGTGAGAAACAGTGTTCCAGCAAGAGTTCTGACCAGCTCCTCACTTCCCGTGTCAAAATACAAGTGTGACCGCGGCCAGCAGGATGCCACTGATGATGGGAAGTACAGTGCGATGGCAGCGCGGAGAGGGAAGAACCTGCTTTGTAATAGCGCAGAGATGCTGAGTTGTACTCTGAGCTGCTTTGAAGGGAATCTCTTCCTTGCAGCTGAAAGCCTGCCAGCTGGTATGAGAGGAGGCTCTGCAATCATGCCAGTGGTTGCCCTCGGGGACGAAATCCAGGAAATGGGACTGGGGCGGGGCAGGTAATGGGAATTCATCCTTATCTGTCATGTTTTTTTCTTTTTTCAATTAAAAATATCTGACATAAATATGATAAAATGTTAACATTGATTCTAGCTGTGGAGCTGCAAAGGTTTTCATTTTTCTGTATTTTCTTTCACCTTTTTTCAAAATTGTTGACATTTATTCAATGGAAGTATTTTTAAGTGGAATCTTGAAAAACAAGGGGAGGAGGGAGAAATAACTTTTTCACTGTGCGATTCTGTGTTTTTTTAAAGCCAGGTCTAAGAACAGTCTAAAACGACTTCATCTCTCACTCTGAGAGGCATGGGCGTGGGAGGTACGTTTGACTGCCTGGCCTCCTGCCATCCATACCCACTATG